AATGACCTCGAAAACCCATAAGTGGCAAGTAATTAGCATTGCAAAAGTAATTAAAATATTCTAAAAATCATTTGAACATTTTCTAAAAGCCATTTGAACAAGTTATAATCAAGATATCAAATTTTGGTTAACAGATCCTTAAGCAGCACGTTCAGGAGTACCGACACTGAAATTTTGAACAAAATCTATTTTTTGGCCGAATATGACAAAAATTGTAAGTCTTATGCCTTACAGGATTTTTGGCCAAAACTACTTTTTCACTCGGAACTAAGATTTAATGTGCCTAACTATTTAAGTACATCCAGAATAATACACAAGCACCAAGAAATGACCTTGAAAACCCATAAGTGGCGAGTAATTAGCATTGCCTTCACGTCGACACTGCAAGCCCCAAGCTCCAGAAACGGGCTTGCATAATGCTGGCCCTCGATCTGGTTGAAGACACTGGGCTGTGTCTCGTCGCTCGCCTGCTGAACGACGAGACACGCACCGAGGCTACGGTCTCACAGCCCACAATACTGACAGACAACATCTATGGGTACCATCAGCCTGAGCAAGCTACGCCATGCAGGACCAGCGCAGCTCCCAGCTCCAGGCAGGGAATCAGGTCGTCCCCTTGGAACCCAGGAGAAAATCCCGAAAACCCGACCTGCAACTTCAGGAGCAGCAAGCAACAGGCAACAAACAACTAGAGGTCCCAGTGGCGCTGCAGACGACAGCTCCCTACGTTTCAGGACCTGTCAACTGGTCCCACGCACTTCCACTCCGGGAATGGATCCACCAGGTACCAGACAAGTAATGGCTGACCTTGGCCCACCCGGGATCTGCCTCGCCGGTGTTTACCACACCATCGGGGACGAAACAGAAGTGACCTGACTACAAGTAGAGGAAGAAACAAGCAAACCCTGGGGGGCCCACCCAGGGAGGGATTCACCACTGTGAGGGTGTGGGACAGGACGGTCAGGGGTCTCGCCGACACTCACGTACGGAGGGCGAACTCTTGTCCGTGGACCCTGCCCTACACGCCATCCAAAGCGATGACACCCCAAGCAGTGGACCGGCTTTGATCCCGGCCGGGAAGGGCGGAAACTCAGATGGAACTAGAAAAATCCATCTGGACCACGACGGAAAATGAGACTCTACAGAGGAAACTCAGATGGGACTAGAAAAATCCATCTGGAATGCGTCAGGAACTGCCGCTCCACACAGAAGTTCAAGTGGAGGAAGTGAGGCACGCGACACACCGCGGCAGACCCCAGGACGGGACAGGAAACGCCAACCACCACATCTACTGCGTCGTCCACCCTGATGCTGGACACCGATTGGTGGAGGTGGTGACGGACCACCCGCCACCCGGGATCTCGACGAATGCTGACGAGTTTTTGTTTTTGCCATTGTATCTTGTAATAATTTCTGCTGCCTTTTTAGTATGTACAAATATTTCTTTTTGTTCACAAGTTGTATTTTGCCCCAACCTTCCCCCCCCCCCTTTTTTTTAAGCGGCCATGTATCTTATTATTATATATGTTGTATGTGCTGCCCTGCGCAAGAGTTTAACAGTTGAAGCAACAAGTATGTAAATCTATTCCAGGCTTGAAGATACTAACGCTAGGGAACCTAAGCAGAAATATGCCAGGGCAAGCAACACCATTGCATAACCTTTCAAACCTCCGACTGTGTACCCTCATTTAACTTCCTAAAGTGACGCTCTCCGACAAGCACCTGCCTAGGCGCTCTCTTTCCCCTTCATATCTACATCCATCTTTCCTTTTCCGTATATTTAGCTAGCCGCTTAAATTTTTAAATATTATCAGACTATGGTAGGATGTGAGGTGTATACTTTGCATCTCAGTAGCTATTTTCGCAGGATGTGCACTCGCTTTGTCATCCACTGTAAACATCCACTGTCTGGCATAGAAGCTTTGATCTTGGCGGGAGGTATAGTGAGCTTTGTCAGATCAAACTAGCGCCAGTAGAAAAACATACACCTATGAGATTGTTGTTTGTGAATGTGAGACTATGTTATCGCCCCAGGGATTATCTCTGATACCACACGTGATGTTGATGTCTATATGTGACATCAGTCTCTGTGGTGAAGCTTTGGTCTTGGCGGGAGGTGTAATGATTGTTTGTCAGACCAAAGCTTACAGCCCAGAATTATGTCACATGTAACAGCAAGCACTACAGACCTCGTGGCACCACCACATCCCGGGTTGACACACCTCAGGTCGACCCTAGGGACTTGACCTCGTCCGCTAATGACTTGAGTTAGCCGGGTGACCTACAAACCGCACCTAACCAAGACACCTGGGCAGGACGGCACCTGCACACAGCCGCCCAGACCTGACACTAGGGAACCAGAATTCTCACCACCACTCGATCAGCTCTACCCGGCGTCATGACCTTAGTAATTCAAGGACCCGCTAATTAGCCAGCACTCCTGTTGACCCGACAACCCGGTCAAGACACACCCAGTTCAGTAGGAGAGGTCACCCCCCGGCTCGACCAATGTATAGGGGCTGGAGCTCCTCTCGCGCAGAGTGTCTGTAACCAGGAAGGGCCAGCTACCAGGTCCCCGAGTCCCGCTCGAAAGAAGACCCCCATTAAGTGTAACGAAGTCTCAGCCCGGGTCCGTCGACAAAGTGCTGTCAACTCCACGTGTAACAGTAAGTGCTGGCTGTGTAGTCTGTGGAAGTGCAGTGATCCCGTACCTCCCCAACGATCGACTTAGTGAAGTGCCCATTCTAGCTGTGAGGTTAGGTTATACGAGAATACCATAGTCTATCATAAATTGTGTACGAACCCCCCTATTAAACTAGTAAAATAAAGCTGTAACACGCATTGGTGTTTTATATACTACACTTGTACTGTGCCTGTGTTAATATACAGTGTTGACATCACACCCTCAAGACACGCTACCATTTCCTCTCGCTATAATACTCTACTACTATAAGCTCCTAACTTACCTCTTCATGTGAGATTTTGTCTCATTACATAAGGCTTTGGGCAGTGGGGGTAAGTCAGATAGGCCCCAGTTGTGATGGGTTCTTGTCCTATCAGGCCCCAGTATTGATAAGCCATGGGCCTCCACAGGTCTAAATCCAGCACTGATCCAGACAACTAACAGATCTGGATCAGGTTCCTGCAAGTCCCTGGATACAAATAAATTCTATGGCTCTATATACTGTATGGGTAAACATGAATATAAAACATTATAAACAATACTTTATTCATACATGAATCAGAATGTATTAACTATCCTAGTGTGTCCATGAAGAGAGCTTAGTCATGCATTTGATATCAATGATGTGGATAATATAATTTACAAGGACATATATATTAAATTTGATAACACAGAGGAGCAACAATTTACAACTGAAAATTATAGCAGCCATTATAAAATGTTAGCAATTATACCGAGTTCAATTAATAATTTGAATACTTAAATGCAGATGTAAGTGAAAATGTAGTTCTGAGTGAGTCAAAACAGCTAAATCATAGTAGAGTAGAAATAGTGTAACAATTTCAGTAAATTATACAATACTGGGCTGTACTGTCCTATCAAACAGTTCTGCAGATCAAATATGAAAATTATATTGTACGTACAGTATTTTAAATTCACAGGCATGATAATGGTCTGTTTACAACTGAATTTTCACAAAATGGAATTAAAATCTGGCAGGATGCAAGGATAGACACAATACTACAGAATTTATTTACAAGGCAAATTGGTTGTGGCCTCTGTGCCTATAGTGCTTTGACAAATTAACAAAGCCATCAATGAACTACCATTACAGTGTGTCTAAATTTGCAGGAATGAACCATTGATTGGTAAAAATAACCACAAGTTACTGTGTAATTTGGGTTTCAAAATTTCTTTTGCTGTATTGTACTCCCCGATGCATGGTCCAACTTATCACTTCTAAAGTAAATTCAGTCATTTTCCTCGCATCCCCGCCCAGCGGATTTGCATTCTGCATACTGTATTAAAACTAAACATTTTATGAAAACTGTAAAAGGAAACGATTCATTATCAAGTGTATGAACCTAAAAAAATAACTAATATTACATATATACTGTCTATATTTTCAGTACAATGCTATGCTTATTCAGTACTACCAAAAAAATATGTACGGCAACCACAAGCAAATGGTAAATAAACTTTAAAACAATCAACATTACTGTTAAAGACACAGTTTCTAGTATGTACTGTGTTGTAACAACATGTATGTCACCCTATAAGCAAACAAAATCTGCAGTTTCCTCCTAAAATATGAAAAATAAAATAATTCAGTATAAAGACAGAAATGTACTTTGAAAAAAATACTCAGTGAATTTCACTTCAGCTAAACCTTTATGTTACTGTACCTAATACTGTCATATGAAATTCATATTGCAAATGTTTTCAGTTTCCAGCTCTTTTAGATAGTAACCTTCTCTCTGCATAAAAATTGTGCCTTACATAAACAAAATACAGTACAGGGGGGGGGTATTAGAATAAGCTTTAAAAAGTCTGATTTTGGCACTTGACTTACTCTACAGTACAGGTATTGTTATTCTATAACATTAGATGATAATTGTACCGAGGCAGTCCACATAGAACCTGTACAGTATCTGTATTACAAAAATAGGAGACATTCATAAAGAAGCACAATGAGGTAATGTTTGAGATGTGTTGACTTTTTGGGTATGACAATCCATGTTCCAAGGCATTATCATTGACGATAAAACTGTACATTCATTATAAGGAATCTTCACCTAGCATGTATGTAATCAAAAAACTTCATTTTAAAGACACAATCACATACAGGTACTGTACTGCAAGTGTACTGTGCAGTGTTGTAATAAGCAACTGCACATTATTATACTTTACAATACTTCCTGTATAAATGAATGCACTCAATTATTTTTTTAAGCCTTGGTGTTTTTCTAAATAAATTAGACAGTTTTCGTATGAGAGAATAAATGTGCAGTAATGGTAAGCACTTGCTGGTGACCTCATTTACAGTTGGTTGATAACGGCCATCAGATAACCAGTGGTGAGCTCATCCTTACTGAGTTATTCAGTGATTTTATTGTCACAAATTTAAGAACAAAACATTAAAGCTTTCTCTGTAATTACTGTACAGTACACTCGTCAAATAAACCATTAACATGTAAGACATGTTGTGAGAAAAGTTTACGGCCCAATATAATTTACTGTACTTATGTGTAAACTCATATTTGCCTGGAAATGGTACAGTACAATATTAAATACTGTACCGTACTTAGAAGGATCTGCACCTGGCTACTGAGCTCTTTGGCCTCTAGTGTCATACTGTATATTGATCATTTATTATGTCAACAAGTTGAACTTTTAAGAATTAAACTCATGACTGTTTCCTCATTCCATTTCTTTATAAAACTAATGTGATGTACATATATAAATACTGTATAACTTACCTAAAACTTGCAATTCTGCAAAAGCAGATACATGCAATCAATTGCTCTTATAGTTTGTATGAATCAAAATTATACATCAAGGTATTCTTTCAATACATACAGGTGGGATTATCTTAAATGCACGTAGTAACTAAAAAGTGACAATTTTCCTTTCATCTCAGAGATAGTTATGAATCAGGTCTTGATGTATGAAACAGCTTATGATCCCTGGGAAAATAAAAGTTGAGAACTCCAGTTTAAAAGTATGTACTTAATAGATTATCATAAAACATAGTGGTGATTCTCATGCAAGTTGTGACTCCATTAGCATAAAGACCTAAAAGATGGAGTCACCAGTAGTCTCCATCCTGTAAGGCCTGGAAGAAACTGAAGACAACACAAGTGAAGTATATCCAAGTCATGGAAATAGCGAGGACGATACAACCAACGATGATTGGCAAAGCGTATCCATGAGAGTTGATGAGAGAGAGAATGCCAGCTGCAAACATCATGACCATGTTGAGGAAGGTGAAGAAGACCCATGGCAGCAGTAAAAATCGTCGTTTCTGTCAAAAAAAAAATCTAATTAAAACATTTGAAATTCACAGTACCAAAGCTTTGGCATACAATACAGTATACTGTACAGTACTGTATTGCATACCATGAACTGGGGTAACTTTAGAGGTTTTAAGTTTTTTACAAACTGCTATTTACGATATAAGGCCAAAAATAGATGTTAAGCTCATTTTAAAAGTTCACACTTATTCTGGAAGATAAAACATTTACTGTACAGGTGTTTGAAGTCATCCCTGATCTTGGGGGTCGTGGGACAACCATTATAATTGACTGTAAACTGCCTCCGAGTTCCTTCAGAGCCTTTCTGGACATTCATTTACAGAAGAAAGAACTGTTGTGAAAAATAGTATCTATAAAATTAATGTTTAAAGCCTAAATGAGTCTACAGTATTATTATTTTTTCATTATCGTTCTGACATCTGAGTGACAAAGAGTGACTGGGAGGAGGTATTGTACAGGTACTCACAGTTCTCACACCATGGATGAGGACGAGGGCAGCTATAATGTAGATGGTGGCCACTATTATCAGAATGGCAAAGAAGATGTAAGCAGCTGCAAAATATAAAATGGTGACATTATGCAGTTTTTATAATACCTGTGATATTATACTATTACAGGTAAATTAAATAAACATTTAATGTGAAAACTGATTTTTTTATATAACAGACACCCATGACAGTGCAGTATGTATCAATATCTGTGAATTTTAAATGTTTCAGACATTTTTTTTAAATACAGTACGGTATGCAGTTTATTAAGGTAATATTAGAGATACATACCAGCATCTGATTCTGGGTCGACAATACCAAAGGTGACAGCATTTTCGAACTTTAGTCTCTTCTTGGCATCATCGATATTGAACAGGCAGTATATAGCAATCACCAGCTGTGCTATACCAATACACTGAAACATAAATAACATTCCTTATTACACATTTTTGTTTGCTATTACAGTGTATGTAAAGTTATACAATATGTCACTAAGGCTTTAAGGAACTAATTCATGTTTTAAAATGTTGTCTTTGCAGGAAGTTGAAGTGCTTACACTGATTCTCTGTTGTTGTATATTAATATATGGATGATCTGAATGTGATGTCACAGTTCAGTTGATTGACCATAGACACAAGATCTTAATTTTAAGTTAAGTAACCATTGACAGCTGAGTTACCAAGGGGTGCAAACCAATCACCCACAGGACAGGTGAGCACTTAGTCATGACGCTCTCTATAATGAACTGAAATGACTCCCTGAGGTGGCACTACAGTTTACCAGTCACTGCGGCAACACTACCGAAAAAAAAAAAATACCAGATAAGCTATAGAGGTACAGTATTTGTCTTAGTTCTTATACTGTATAAGTGTCATGAAGAGCACACCATTGTAGGTAAGTGAAGTTTAGGGTAAATACTGAATTACGAGACTGATTAGATTCCAATAGTTGCCAACGTTAATAGTCGGTAATAAACCGATTAGGAAGTATTTTTTTCCATTTTTACGTCACCTGCGAATATAACTATCACTTAGATTGTTGGCACAGACTATGTCCGGCACTGGGCCAAGCCAGAGTGATGTCAGAGACAAATAAAATGCTTACTAAAAAGTCTTACTAGTTCATGCTCGTTGAACGGTCAAATGTAACCCTAAAATTTATCATCAGACGGCAGAGAAACGTACAAATAAATAACTTTTGGACAGGAATTATATTTTTTTTTCAAGGACGAGCAAAGTGTACCATGAGTGAAGCCCGAAGCGCACTGTGTACAGTATATAACCAGAGATAGGGCAGGTAAGGAGAGCATGACGGAAGGTGAAGTAAGAAAGTCAGTCAGGTGTCGTGGGTGGGCGTGGGTCAGGCATCCACCCACGCTCCCCGCGCCACCTCACCAGAGTGTAGGAGGCCACACAAAAACTGGTTTATGAGAATGGGCGTCGCCTAGCGTGGACCAGAGTACTACAAGTCTGGCTACACCTACGCCACGCCCACGACATCCTTCAGCTCCATTACCAGCCAGCAGCGCTATATACACAGAACTTGACAGCTGTACCCCTAGAACAGGGAGCTGTGCTAGCAAGAGAAGGCAGGGGTAATGAGCGAGCTACTCTGACCACCAGCCGTAGTGGTGCCTAATATGGCGGGCCTGGTTGTACCGCACCCCTCTGCCTGCTTCCACCACCTGTGGCCGCTAATATGGTGTGTCCCGCGACCGCGACCGCGCGCGTGCGTGTGTGTGTGTGTGTGTGTAGGTTGCCGTAGTCATTACTGGAAAACGTTTGGGTAACGTGTGGGTGGTTAAGGTTGCTGCGTGGGCAGCAGGTGGGTAGAAGACAGGGTACGGGAGTTAGGGAGTGACGTGTGTAAGTAAACATGGAGTGTGTAGGCCGGTGTGGGTGGGTGTCAATTAAGTATGGGCCGGTGTGGGTCGGTTATCTAGAGTATGGGCGAATGTAGGTGGATATCAGTTGCGCATAATCGGGGGTGGGTGGGTATCAGTAAAAAGCATGTAAGTGGTAGTGGGGAGCGTTTAAAATATGTTTAAATGCATAAGGGTGGAGCGGGCCTTCTGGTGAGGGACGGATCAGCCAAGGGTTCTTCATGATCTTGGACCCCGAGGATGAGATACGACCACAAACCTCCTCACATGCCACAGTAGCAGTATAAACATCATTGATAAAATACATATTATTTACCCCTGACTTGTATATTCTTCTCTGAACTAATTTCTTGAAACCAAAATACTTCTCGTCCATGATCCGCAATCCTTCTTTCTACTAGTTGTCACTGACCAATTTGTATCTTGACACAGTGACAGATCTACATCGACTACAGGATTAACTAATGGACGTCGATTACAGTATCCTCAATCTCCAAGTCCACGAGAACGGGGACAGTGAGACAAGGTAGTATTGACACAAACACCTCTAGTATGGGTCTACACACACTCACCCCCTTACAAGTTACAACACTCGTAACTCAGGAGGTTAAAACGTGAAGCTATAATACTGATAAAGACGTATTTATGAATAGATTAAATGAATACAATTTTAACTTTTTCGAAATACTGACCTTGAAACTTTTAGTACTTATACCAGTCGTAGGCTGACCAGGCACTTTCGTAAAGATAACACCAAATTTGTGGACGACTGAGCACGGGTAAACAAATAAACAAATAGGATAAACGTTAAAGTTCCAGAGAATATTCACATAATATACAAAATATTAGTAAACATCAGTTGTTTGCCACTGAAGGAGGAGGTGAGCAGCCTGGGCAATATGAATAAAGCTAGCAATATCAGTCTGGGTGTACACGTACAAACATATCTATTACGCGTGAATGGGCTCAAGAACATGGCAAATGGATAAGATGATCTTTAATAATAACGGAAGCAATCAGAACTCACAGCAAGATTTGCAATACGTGTTCAGTATGAATTAGGTTTATATAAAATAAGTTTAAATTCAAGCAACACTCAGGTGGGGAGCGTAATGCATGCAATAGAGGAAGGGGGCAATAGAGGAAGGGGTGTGTGCGTGACTTGCCCAAAGAGAGGCGCCCGGCACACATTAACGGGTGTAAAACAAATTAATGCATCTTTGATTGTAATTGTGGGATGTCCCAGAATGATGTCGGGTAATACACAGTCAAATAATAATAAACTAGAAGTGTGTACGCAACTAAGGTAGATGAGGCAAGAACATGTATGTGGAAATCTGATCGACCACACTCCAGCACATGACATGTGTTTCAGGCAAGTCGCCAGGTAGCACCAGCGCCAGACCAGTGTTTACATGTGGCGGTGACTTACTGATCCTACCTAAGTGTGCCTGGCTAATATTCCACTGTTTTTAAATTATTACAATATACTTGATAGCATTTAACACTACTGTACAATACGCCACTGTTCATAAGAGTAACCTTCACAAAATACTCGCAAAGACAGAGATTTAAGATGCTGTGCCATTCAAGTGCCCCATCACTGGTAGTAGTCAACGAGTACCATCAAAAACTCTATACGTTGCCATTCAGTGCAGTTAGAAAGAGTCATTCATAAAAATAATGCGACACCAGTAAGAGTAATGACAGGGAATCATTCATAAGATTGGACATTTTCATTTACTGCTAAAGAGATGATTTATTAGAGTTTGTTAACTCCACTCTTCAAGTAATAAAGGATTTATATTTATGGTGTTCAATTATTTTTAATTAGTAGCTTATACATAATAAATAAATAAATTAACTAACAAGAAGTAAACGAAGCTATTTTTTGCACAAATAGCCACAAGCCATCAGCAACTAACTGTTCCCTCAAATTCTCGCGCCAGAAGAAACCATTCCCCAGTGAATAAAATACTATACATATGAAAAACTACTGAATCCTATTGTTTGGTTATACAGATTTAATCTTCATTTTGTGGTTATACAGATTTAATCTTCATTTTGTTTCATGACACTTTGGTTTTTAATTTAACTAAAGTAGATCCACCTTACCACATAGTAGAGAAAAAATACACCTTTTTACATGTAAGACAAGGCATTCCGCCACCCATTCATTAAAAGTTCACTCATGGTTGAACAATCGGGCATATCGCTGTAAAGAACATAAATTCCCATTAATAAGCCATGTAACAAGGCACCCCGTGTAGCTCTGCAGCACAAGGGATTAAGGTGATCTATTTTCGTGTTATCTTGAAAAAATAATCAAGCTAGGAATGGTGTCCTTCAAATGCGCCCACCCACTTATGCCACCCTCACGCCCACACACCCTCATTCATAACTCGTGAAGAGCTCTCTCTCTCTCTCTCTCTCTCTCTTTCCCTTCCTTACTGGAGATATAAATATGTATCTCATTTCTAATTCACACTATACCACAAAGACGGTGGACCAGGAAGCGTAAGTGCATAACCACAACCGGTATTCCGCTGCCAGTAACTAGATGCATTCCCTTACCTTAAAAGGAAAAAGTTCACGTACCGACACGAACCTCTCAGAGATTTGTTTACACCACAATGATTCCTCCCACGATGGGTTGTAGTGGATATACATTAATACATTATTGTAGTAAAGCTATCAAAATACTTATCAGTCTTTAAAACAACCATAAGAAATAACATTCGTATTTTTTGGATATCTTTAATAAATAACCAAATATTAAATCTTATTTATTAATATGACGGGAGTGTTTACACTTTTATGTTACCGTAAATCAAAGGTTAAACATAATAATTCTTAAGTACTGAGGGCAAGGAAAAAGTGTAATAAAAAATATATCAAATGAGAAACTTTTGTAATTTACAGTATGTACCACGCCCATCACCACGCTCCCTCTCTCTCTCGGTTTTTTTTTTCATATGCTATATTTTTAACTTACCAAGAGTAGAAACAGAAATAGAACGCTTGAATATCACGTAAAATACACCCACTAACTACAAGACAAAATTTCATCTAATGGCTCTTTTACACATCAAAGGACCTTAATTTTGTTAATATATTTTCCCTCAAGACCACACCCACAGGGTTAATTTTGCTAGGTCGTCCTCCTGGTAAAAGGCCGCGGTCATGGTTAAAATCTAAGAATATCCATTTACGTTCCATCCAGGGCACCCATCTAATCTTAGCCCAGCGGCCTCTTTATATATTCACCCTTACGCTCCCTCCAGAGCCCTCGCTCTTAAGAGAGAGAGATTTACAGATTGCCCCGGAGGTGAAGCGCAGAAGCGTTTACAGTGCCCAACTGGGAAGCATGCGGAGTTCATGCTTGCCTTTATGACTCATGCAATAAGAGAGAGAGAGAGAGAGAGAGAGAGAGAGAGAGAGAGAGAGAGAGAGATATGATGATGAGCGATTAGGTCCATTTTTTGTTACACAGGTCCCGGCGAGAGGTACAGTGTTGGGTGCTGCAAGCCTTG